AAAAAATTCTAATCGTAGGTTAATTTCAATAAACTACCCATACAAGTATCCAGTCTTAATCGCGATAGTTAAACCATAACATAATTGATAAACTGCACACAACTCTGTATATTATATTAATGTGTGATTTTATGATATCTGCACTTTTGCATTTTGTGTGAATAAACTTATTTTACACATTCACTGTAAATTGTTTAATTTTCACTTAAAATTTGTTTCGAAATTCCAGGATTTTATGACATTTATGAAGACCAAATTTCATGAAAGTCGCTTACATTTTTGCCGACTATACAACTGACTGTGTTTCTTCAACCCTGAAATTATAAATATATAATGATATTATGTAATTATCAGTACTTTGCACAGGGATAACCACAATACTAGTACATGCATGCTGGTAGAGTTGTTGTTTTGTGTGAAGGGTTTGTGGAAATGTGGGATGGAGGGTCGTACATTGTTTGCATCATTCAATGAAGGAAGTCTTTCATATAACTTCTTGGAAATTAGATTTTTCTGCATTTCCGTATTGGTTTCTGTTCAGAGAAAAACAATCTACATCTACAATTGAGAAAATGCCAGAATAATGCACAGAATTTGCAGACACGTAGAACAGGTGGTAAAAACGTCACATAAAACTTGAGAAACGGAAAGACTAAATCGCATAATTTAAGAGTAGCCCTAATGATAGTGAGCAACTGTAATGGGTTTTCTCTCTGGGTAGTCTGTGGGTTTTTTAGTCAATGATGAATGCAGAATTCTCTCATCTTGTGAAATACTAAGTGATCTATTCGTCTGACCTTATGAATTCTGTCAATGTGACAAATAAAACGTGTAATATTTTAGACATGCACACGTCAAGTAAAATACTCGCGAAATCTGTTCGTTGTGAGTTGGTTGAAAAGTTTTGTCAGAATTGTTTAAAAAAAAAAAATGGCTGTTATGAAAGTGAAAACAACTATTTACAATTTAATAGCAACTTGGCTGGTTTCAGTGAAAATAAAGGACTTTGCAGTATTTAACAAACATTGATTCTTTTTCTGTTTTTTTTTTGTTTTTTTGCAGAAGATGAAAATCAATGTTCATCGCCGCTGGGTATGGAGTCTGGATCTCTTACAAACAGGCAGATAACATCAAGTTCAGTATTCAGTATACAAAGGTCACCGTACTATGCCAGATTGAATCGGAATGAAGGTATGAAATTCCTTGTAGTATTTTGTTATTAAAACTTTTGTTTTGACACACCCTTCTACTCACTATGTTTTTGTAGAAATTAGTGACCTCAAACCTATTAGTGTGTACTGTTTATTTAAAGAATAACCGCCCTCCCCAGAAGTGAGTCTATCCAGGGATTTTGATCAGTTACACATCATGTACACGTGAGCAATAGTTATTCCTGTTATATTACACCAACTTCATTTTACAGGCAATTCTGCAGGACGTGTTTGAGTGTTCTCCAGATTCTCCTTTGTGCAGAATTACTTTTGGCCATCAGATTGGACGTTTAACACACATTTGACACAAATTCAGATCATCAAATATTTCACAATATCCAAAGACCGCAAAACTTTATAAATGCTCTCGGAATACAACTTTTTTTATTCAGTAACTCTCTATAAATAATCAGTAACATAGATGCGTAGAAACTGCATTAAAACTACTAAAAGTTACGACTGATTTTTTTTTTTTTCTTTTTTTTTTTTTATTCAAAAACTTTATTAAAAAAACTGTAAACCACTGAATTTTTGTCATTTGACAAGTACTGTAAAATCTGTATTGGTAA